AGGGGTCAAACAACCTCAAATCACAAAACACTCTTAACAAACTATTTAGAGGGCCTAAAAATAGAACTTTTTTATGTTAAATACTAAACACAAAAACATTTTCAAGGTAGGCAAAAATACAATGCAAGAAAGGGGTAAAAAGGAGCAAGCTTCTTACCCTTGAAGACCCTCTTCAACAATGGAGTTCCAGCAGCTTCTTTGGGTTGAAACTAGCTCCAAAACTTCCAAAACAACCCTTAAGAGGCCTCAGCTCCAAGGGATGGTGTGATGGTGGGTGCTTGTGAGCAAAAGTAAGGCAAAACACACACACTAAGCTCAAGAGAGAGAGAGAGAGATATAGGATAGATTTATAAATCCTAACCTAAAACCAGAGCTCTCTAACTATTTTTTTCTAACCCTAAAACCAAGAGAGGAGACTCTCTCTTATAGAGCTTTCTCTTGTAAAGCTTGTCAAATAAGCTTGTCAAGAGAGAGATCCCTCCATACACGTGTATGGTGGGGAGAAAAGGTGGGTGCCAGCTATCATAGCTGGCACAAAATATCTACCAAAAGTAGATGAACAGTGATCGACCATTCAAAATTGTCATTTTGGCAAAATAAATGGCCGACCGGCAACAAAGAGTGCCGACCGGCAATATACATTGCCGATGGCATAAAATCACTGGCCGGTGGCCTCAAGCCATGGCCGGTGATGTGTGGGGATGTCTCACAAGGCATTCCCTGCCCCTCCAAGGCAAAACACAAGTGTTTGGTGCAAAATCAAACACAAAACAATCGAGTCGAGAGGTCCTGAGGCAAGGCACGTAGTTGAGACCTCCGGGAACTCAAGACGAACACAAACAAGGGTAATCACCAAGTGTTCCAATGGTGATGTCCAAGTCTTGAGGACGGTAAAAAATGGGGTGTCTACAGCTTGCCATATACTCACCTAACCCACTTGGGTTTAGGCTTCAGTAGATTGGACCGGGCCAAGGCTTGGACCCAACCCATTTCACATTCAACCCCTTCATTTGCCTCCTAGCTCGCACTAAGGTTCCCTTTGGGGGGAGCTATTATTCTGCTTTCCAAGCGTCGCGTCGTTTCGGTTTTCCCCCAGTTTGGCCTTGGTGACGGTTCAATCCTGACACACAATCCCTGCATGCGTCCTTTCATGGTGATATGTGGCGTCATCGGATAGGTGTGCAGAGATAGTGCGTTGACTCCATACCGAAGGTCGTGCTTCGTGTACCTGTGCGCCGACTGGTGCAATTAATGCTCTGGCAGTCAATACAAATTTCCTCTTCTACTATTTCGTTCTTTTAGAGAGTTTCAAAGAGAGAAGAAAGGCTCTCCCCGTTCCTTTGAACCAGTCTCGTTGGTGCTCTATTCAGACTTTTTTCGCCGTTGGTCTTGCTTTGCTACCACTACTCTAATCTCTGTAAGTCCTCTTGTGATTGTTCTTCTCTTGCCTTTTTTTGTCTTAATCATCTTGTCTGTCCCTCCCACTGTCTGTGTTCCACACTCTGTTATTTGAGATCTTCCTCTGCCCCATTTGGTTTGTTTGATGGGGAAGTTCCGCTCTCTAGTTGATACCCCCGAGGCCATGGCTATGTTCCGTCTGGACTATAATATTCCCGACGACATTACCCTTTTGCTGGCGAAAGTAGACGCCAAGCGTATGGGCACGAGGAATACCATCGCTTTTCTGATCGCGGCCATTGTCGAAGGAGAGGTTCGGTTTCCCCTTGACCCGTTGGTGTGCCGGTTTCTACATCAAGTCCAGTTAACCCCAATGCAAGTGTCTGTGAACCTCTTCCGTGTCGTCTACGGCGTATCCGCCCTCAACAGACGGTTGGGTTTGAACCTTGACATATGGGATATCCTTGGTTGTTATACTATTTCTCATAACAAAGACCATAGCACGTATTACTTGCGTGTTCTCTCGTTCGATTGCCATTTGGTGACTGGGTTACCCGATTCGGATAAACACAACGATGATTTCCTGCAAGTTGGTGGCAACTGGGAATTCCCCACCGGAACTGAGTTCCAGTTTAAGCGGATGCCTCAAAAGGACAGCTACCCAGGTTCGGGCCTTTCCTTCTAATGTCTTTTGTGTTTCTTACTTTATTTTGGATGTCGCTCTAATGGGTCACTTCCTTTTTGCAGAGGCCTCTTGTTTCCAACGAAGATTGAACTAGAAAAACGCTGAAGCCATAAAAGTCGCCCTAAGGTATAAAAAGAGATCTGCGCCCGAGTTATTGGATTACCAGTCAACTTACCGCTCCACCATTCCAAAGAAGGCGAGGCTCGCTGCTTCCCTCTTGGACTTTGATACCGAGACCGACACATCTCTCACTCCTTTGGTTACGAATCGTCGCAGGAGTCAGGGTGCACTTTCTGAAAGAACGCCCTCTCCTGTCCCCAGTTTCGCAGGGGGCAGGTCTGTGGCGAAGAGAAGGGTGTTGGTGGATTTAGAGGTCAAGGCTTTCGGCGCCTCTGATGTTTTGGAAACTCCTCTGGAAAAGACCGAGGTGAAGAGCCTCATAGAAGTGAAAATAGAAGTGGGAGCTTCTGGGACCCCAACGACTGTTGCCGAGCCCTCATCTTCGGTCGCTACGCGAGCAAAAAAGAGAAGAAGAGAGGCTGGCAAAGTAGTGGTAGGGGAAGCTTCTGAGGATCCTGCTGAGGATGAGGCATTTGAGAAATTAGAGCCGCCAGTGTCGCATAAAGGCAAGCCCATTTCCACTTCTGATTTAGTTGTTGCTTCACAAGATTTTGCTTTTGATTTGACTAAGTTTCTGCTGATGCCGATTGACATGGCTGACCATAATGGGCCCCGTGATATCGCTATTCTGAAGGGGACCCTTCGGATGATGACCGCTATAAATTTTTTCTCATTTTAGCTGCTGCGCTGGTTCCTGAAGGCTCTTCCCTGTTTCAAGATGCCCCAGTTCCTTCAAGATCTTTGGGTTCAAAGACTGTCTCCACCCTTGCTGTTCTTCCAACCGAAGTTTCCCCAGAAGTTGATTCTGCAAACAAGACCCCAGACAGTAATGTTGCCGCTGAAACGGTGGATGTTGAAGGGGTTGAAACCCTGGAGACCGCAACCGTGGGAGATGTGGTTAAGGAGGCTTCTTCTTCTCAGGAAATTGGAGCTGCCTCTACTTTTCCTCCCCAAGACGGTCTGGACAAGATTGTGGATGCTACTCCTGAGGTTTCCTCTGTTAATGAAAGTTAAAGTTGAAAGGATTTGAACTTTTTTGCTTTCCTGTTTTGATGTATTGTGGCTCGGTCTCCATGACGAGCTTTCTTTTTGTACTTGCCAAGACAATTTTTCTTTTCTCTTTTCTTTTCATCATTGCTGGTTATAAGGCCATCTGTGCCTTCTGTTGGGTGATAGAATTTTCTCTTTGAATTTGCAATCCGATGCTGTTTGGCTTTTATGTCTGAATGTTTTCTATACTGCTTGCCCCCAGCCGAGCGCTGTTGGAGTCTCGGGGCCGAATAGATGCTCGGTCTGGTTCTGCACTGCTTTTAAATAGATGCTCTGTCTAATGTTGTACTGCTTGCCCCCGGCCGAGCACTGTTGGGACCTCGGGGCCGAACTGATGCTCGGTGTGGCTAACGGATATGTGGTATGGCTATGCTTGAGTTCGTAAGTGGGTCTTATTTAGGTCCAGGTTGGTTTTAAAAAACAATTGTTTGCCCCCACCTGGAGCTAAGTAAGATTGGTACTGAAGATTGTGCTCTTAGATAGAACTGCTTAAGTTTGTTGCAACTTTGATAGCACAGATGCATTTGAATGAGATAAAGGCATGAAGAGGTGTCTTACTCAGGTCCAGGTTGGTTTGAAAAAAACAATTGTTTGCCCCCACCTGGAGTTGAGTAAGACTAATGCTGGAAGTTTGCTCCTGACAGAGCCTGGTCACGTTTATTCCAACTCTGTTTTTTTGAATTAGTACTGAAGTGTTGACGCGTTGGTACTTAAGGAATTCCGTGGATTCAAAGATGTTTACTTCAGATATGTTAGTGTGGTTTCCACCAAGCAATTCCACTTGGCTAAAGTCCAATTTAGTTACCAAACATTATTCCACCAAGTAATACCACTTAGCATGTTTGAGTGCTAACCAAATTTAAATTCCGTCCAATCGTTCTGGAACTAAGTCCATTTGGGTTAAGACCAAAGTTAACTCCGTTTGATAAACATCAAAGCTAATTCCATTTGGTAAGGACCAAAGCTAATTCCGTTTGATAAACATCAAAGCTAATTCCGTTTGGTGAGAACTAAAGCTAATTTCGTTTGATAAACATCAAAGCTAATTCTGTTTGGTAAGAACCAAAGCTAATTTTGTTTGATAAACATCAAAGCTAATTCTGTTTGGTAAGAACCAAAGCTAATTCCGTTTGATAAACATCAAAGCTAATTTCATTTGGTGAGAACCAAAGCTAACTCCATTTGATAAACATCAAAGCTAATTACAAGAATTTGATAAATTTGAGAGAAGTGGGAAAGCATTTGCATTGGTCAACAAATAAATGCCTTTACATTCTAATAGAGAAGTTGGGGGATAATTCTACTGATAGTATTTCTTGAGATTTGCTACATTCCAGGGCCGAGGTATAGCTCTGCCTTTCAGATCCTCTAGGCAGTAAGCTCCATTTCCAACAACAACTGTGACTTTGTATGGACCCTCCCAGTTAGGCCCAAGTTTGCCCTCGCCAGGCACCCTTTTGTGATCCATTACTTTCGTCAAAACCAGTTCTCCTGGTGTAAATTGCCTTGGGAAAACTTTTTGGTTGAAACTCTTGATGAGCTGCTGCTGGTACGCTACAAGTCTGATCAGTGTTGCTTCTCTTCGGCCCTCTACCATATCCAATGCTTGTGCAATAGCTTCCTCATTACTAGTGCTCTTAAACAATTCAGACCGAAGGGTTGGGAGACCTACTTCGAGTGGGATGACGGCCTCCATTCCATAAGTTAGGGAGTAAGTTGTTTCCCTCGTTGAGCGCCGTGCTGTGGTTCAGTATGCCCATAGCACGTGGGGTAACTCTTCAACCCATTTTCCTTTGGCATGCTCAAGCCGTTTCTTTACTCCGTTGATGATGGTTTTGTTTGACGCTTCCGCCTGTCCATTGCTCTGCGGGTACCCTGGAAAAGAGTTCTTATACTTGATTCTGAGGTCAGCACAAAACTTTCTGAAGATCTTACCATCAAACTGCGTTCCATTATCCGTAATCAGTACCCGCGGGATGCCGAAACGCACCACCACGTTTCTCATGACAAACCGCTTTGTATCCGCTTCTTTGATACTTGCCAATGCCTCGACTTCAACCCACTTAGTAAAATAGTCGGTTGCAGCAATGAAGAATCGCCTGTTCCCAGTGCCTCGCGCCAATGGTCCGACAATATCCAGACCCCATTGGGCAAAGGGCCATGGGCTGGTGAGTGGAGTAAGAGTTTTGGCTGGCTGATGGATGAACGGAGCAAACCTCTGACATTTATCACACTTCTGTACGTACTGCTGCACATCTTGTTGCATTTGTGACCACCAATACCCGTGAGTAAGGGCTCGGTGCGCCAGTGACCTTTCGCCAACATGGCAGCCACAAATTCCATCGTGAATTTCATAGAGAACATTCTCGACCAGATTTGGATGCACACACAGAAGATAAGGGCCAAGATATGAGCGTCTGTACAGCTTCTCGGATGGTGAGATCCAAAACCGAGCTGACTTATGTTTGACTTTGTTGGCTTCCTTTTTGTCTTCGGGGAGAGTACCAGATTTTAGAAAAGCAAGTATTGGATCCATCCAGCTCGGCTCTACGCTGCTGCAGAGAACTGGAGATGCAATGCTTGGTTCTGGCACAAACTCAATCCAAACTTTTCTAGCATCTTTGGTATCGACTGATGAGCCGAGACAAGCCAGAGCATCAGCATGGCTATTTTTGTCCCGACTAATTCGTTCCACTCGTATGGATTGAAACTTTTTAACTAGGTCTTTGGCCTTGCCTGCGTACATAGCCATTATTCCATCCCGCATTTCATAGACCCCAGAAAGCTGGTTTACTACTAGCTGTGAATCGCTGAAAACAAGAAGTTGTTTTGCACTGAAGTGTTCAGCACGACGTAAGCCAGCCAATAACGTTTCGTACTCTACCTCGTTGTTTGAAGCCTTCCAACCGAGCCTGAGAGCATGTTCCCAGATAAATCCTTCTGGTGAGATGAGTACTACTCCTGCCCCCGAGCCTCGGTTATTGGACGACCCGTCAACATAAAGCTGCCAGATGTTTCCAATAAAGAGTTTCCATGCTTCCGAAGCGCAGGGCTTTCCCTGTTCGGTGGTGCGTGGCACTTGCGCTGAACTCGGATTTGCCGGCTCGATACTCTAGGCAGGAGCAAATTCTGCGACGAAATCTGCCAAGACCTGGGCCTTGATTGCAGTCCTGGGTTGATACCGAATGTCAAACTCACCAAGTTCCACCGCCCATTTTGCTGTTCGGCCAGAGAAATCGGCTCGGATGAATACATATCTGAGGGGGAATTCAGTGAGGACATTAATGGTATGCCCCTGGAAGTAGTGTTGTAACTTTCTGGAGGCGATAAGCAGCGCGTAAGCTAAATTTTCCAATGGTAGATACTGCGTCTCGGCATCTAGTAAGGTCTTGCTAACATAATACACTGGCCTCTGTTCCTTGTTCACTTCCCGAACTAATACTGCGCTTACGGCATGATCTGAGACTGCTAGATAGAGGTACAACTCCTCTCCTGGTTCTGGAGTGGATAGAAGAGGTGGCGTGCTGAGGTACCTTTTGAGACTTTACAGTGCTTCGGTACACTCGCAACTCCATTCAAATGCTGCTTTTTTTCTCAAAAGTTGAAAGAAGGGCTTCATTCGATCCGAAGATTTGTTGATGAACCAATTCAGTGCGGCCGCCATTCCTGCCAGTTTTTGCAGCTCTTTAGCCTTTGTTGTTGCTTCAAGATCTTGTATTGTTTTTATTTGGTCTGGATTCGCCTCTATTCCTCTGTGAGTGACCATATATCCCAAGAACTTCCTTGTTCCTACCCCGGAAGTGCATTACGAGGCATTGAGGTGAAGCTCATGGTTTTTTAGGATGCCAAAGACTTCTCTCCAGTCTGTAAGATGGTCTGTAGCGAACTTGCTCTTTACTACCATATCATCTATATAAGCTTCCATGGTTTTCCCGAGTTGGTCTTTGAACATCCGAGTGATCATCCGCTGGTAGGTTGCTCCGGCGTTCTTGAGGCCAAATGACATCACTTTGTAGCAGTAAGTTCCTCTCGGAGTGATAAATGCTGTCTTTTCTTGATCCGGACCGAACAGTGGTATCTAATGATAGCCGCTATAAGCGTCCAGAAAGCTCATGCGCTCATGCCCTGCTGTTGAGTCTACTAGTTGATCAATGCGAAGCAGCGAAAAGCTATCTTTAGGACAGGCTTTGTTCAAGCAAGTGAAGTCAATGCAAACTCTCCATTTTCCGTTCTTCTTCTTGACTACAACTGTGTTAGACAGCGGGTACTGAACTTCTCTGATTGCTCCTGATGCCAGGAGTTTTTTGACTTTGGCAATTACTGCTTCGGTGTGCTCAACTGAGGATCTACGACTTTTCTGCACAACGGGCCGAGCTGAAGGGTTGATGTTGAGCTTGTGGCAAGCAAATTCTGGGTCCAACCCTGGAGTATCATATGCTGACCATGCGAATACCTCCATATTTTCCCTCAGCAGTTCCAGCAGCTGAAATTTCTCATCAGTGCCTAGCGAGGTACCGATAAGGAAGAACTTTTCTAGATCATCCTCTTTTACCAGGACTCTCTCCAAATCTTCTACTATCTTTTCCTCTGGGGCTCCCCCTACATCTTCCAAGACTGGCTGTCTGGCCACTTCTACTGTCTGTACCCGATTGCAGAGCTGTTTAGCCTTTAATGCTGCCATGAAGCAATGTTTGGATGCAACTTGATCCCCTGAGATCTGCTTTATTCTGTGTTCCATTGGGAAACGGATGAGCTGGTGGTAGGTTGAAGGGACCGCCTCCATTTGATGAATCCATAGACGGCCAAGTATGGCGTTGTAAGGAGATGGTGTATTAATAACTAAGAACACTATCTGGAGGGTTTTTGTTCCTGCCACGGCTGGCGACACTATTCTGCCATGCGGCCATTCTGGCTATGAATTGAAGCTGACCAACGGGATTGCCGCTGGAGTGAGGTGCTGCTCGGAGAGACCAAGCTTTCTGAACAAATCATAATACAATATATCTGTTGCACTACCTTGATCTACCAGGACTTGTTTTACATAAAATCATTTCCCAATTCCCACTGTTAAAATCAATGCATCAGCATGTGGGTACTGTATGCCCTCTAAATCCTTTCTAGTAAATAAAACAGTGCACAAGGGGGATTTGGATGCCGCACGTACCTTTTTCAATGCAGGCTCCACTAACATGACTTGCTGAATTTGCACAGCCTTAGCAATCTCTTCTCTTAGTGTCTCCTCAGGTTCCTGAGTCGCTGTCCCATGGATCACATTTATTATCAGCCGAGGTGGATGCTCAATATTTGGTTCTGGTGGTGGGTTCCCCAGTTCGGTCACTTCCTTATCCTGATCAATATAATCCTGGAGGTGCCCAGCTGCTACCAAGTCCTCTAAGTGTTGTTTTAATGCCCTGCAGTTCTGAGTCATATGCCCCCTATCTTGGTGGTAGGTGCATCTGAGCTTCTGGTTGCGCTAAGCCGGATCTCCCAACATTTTTGGTGGCTAGACAAAAAAGGGCTCTCTCTTGATCTTTTCTAGGATTCGATAGATCGGCTCTTTGAATACAGTCATGATGGCTTCGTGGGATTTAAACTTATCCACTTCGTTCACTGCGATCCCTCTGTGTTCTCCTCGATCAGTTCTCTTTTCGTGCCGGGCTGTTTGTTCTGTTGACACTTTCTCGATGGGGATCTGATCATCATCGAGGCAAGCGTACTGCTCAACCCTGGCACACAAATCTTTCAATGCTATGGCCGGGCGCTTGGTAAGTGATTGTCTCAACTTACTTTCCGGGCACAGACCATGTTTGAAAGACATGACGGCCATTTGTTCACTATATACATTTTCCTCCAGATCATTGTATTCTTCCCAGTACCTCCTAGCATAACTGCGCAACGTTTCTTCCTACTCCTTTCGAAGGCCAAACAGTGTATCCAGCTCTTTTGGAATCTTAGTGTTGGAGACAAACCTGGCTAGGAACTCTTAGGAGAGTTGCTTCCAGCCATGGATCGATCTAGCGAGGAGTCGGTCGAACCATCGGAGTCTGGTTTCTCCCAAGCTAGATGGGAAGACTTTGCACATCAGTGCCTCATCTCGGCTCCATAGAGACATCATTTGTCTGTAATGGCTAATATGTGTCAGCGGGTTCGACTTCCCATCATACGAAGTGAACTTTGGTGGGGTGAATTTCTTTGGAGGTCTCATGGCCTCAATTTCGGGAGGCGAATGGTGAAGAGACGAGCCTATCCAGCGCTCGGTGTTCTCTCTGGTGAACAGTACGGTCCAGATGATCCCGATGTTGTTCGCTCTGCTTGTTGCCGATTAGCCAAGTACGAAGGTCTTAAGGGGGGTATTCAGTTTATTGACTAACCGTCTTCTGCCTCTTAGTCCTTCTCCGGCGTGACCCACAGGTGTGACTGCTCGTCGCCTCTCTCTGTATTGGGATAGGCTAGCGTTGTTGCCCACACTCATTTCTGGGGTACTTCTTCACTGGTGGCTCTCTGGATGAGCTCCTTCGTCGCAAACGAGAGGGCTCTGCTTCAGTCTTCTTTTCCATTAGATCACCCAGCACCCTCTTAAGTTGGGCTTTCAGCTCCTGTATCTCCATCCCCATGGTGTCTATGATTCGATCTCTATAATCCTTTTCCAGAAGAAAGTGATGAGAAGAACCTCCAGCGAAGGGTAATCGATGCTCGACGGATTCAGGGGTCCGCTTATTGTTTCTAGTTTGCTCTTCCAAAATTGTTGGGAGTGCCAAGCCTTTTTCCTTCGTCTTCTCCATCTGTGGAGTATGTGTCGAAGGTGGAATGTCCTCAATCCCATCGCCGGAACTAAGTGCAGAGCTTAGAGATGAAGTGTTCCACGTTCACCGCACCAATTGTGCGTACCGGATTCCGCACTAAATGAAAGTGGATCGGGGCTCCGCACTCAGTTGGACTATCCAGGGACTGAGGTTCTTGCCACAAGAAGCACCGTGAGAGCAGCCCGGCCAGGGTTGGCCGGATAACCCCTCCGGCATGGGAATTAGTGATCAGAGCAGAAATGTATATAGAGTTGAGTTTATATCTAGATGTGATTTTGCTTGAAATAGTTCAGTTACCTTCAATGTGAAGTTCATATAGTACATATTGGGTTCCTTGCTTGCTTCTCAAGATGGTTTCATGGAGCTTGGATGCTGCCAAGTGTCCTTTTTGCATTGCTCAAGGTGGGGGACCACCTGGTAGTTATCATTGAATGCATATGCTCATTGTAGTCATACTAATAACAAACCGCATTCCTCGGTTCAACAACTTCCGTGATCCTAGGTGTGGGGGACCAGCTGAGGTGGCAGCTTGCACATGCACATGCTTACTACTTCCACGTTTCTCTGTGAGGTTCCTTCTGCTCGGTACCTTAGTACCTCAGTTCGGCCTTAGACCAGATTTCTGTTGGGATAAGCCGGTCCATTCGGACATCTTTGTGTGGGCTCGGCTCACTTTCTGTTCAACCCATAGATTCAGTCTCGCAGCTCGGCCCAGCCCAGCACCACGGATGGACTCGCCTTTCCCCTGCGGGTTGGGCTCAAGTGCTTGAGAACTTGGGTTGACTGTTGATCATGAAGTTGGACTCAATTGGCTTGCCCGTATACTTACCTAACCCACTTGGGTTTGGGCTTCAATAGATTGGACCGGCCCAAGACTTGGACCCGACCCATTTCACATTCAACCCCTTCATTGAGTATGAATTTGCAAATTACTCCGAGAATCTTAACAAAATGATATTACCATTAGAGAGAATGGTGGGAAAGAGGAGAGAGAAAGAGAGAGAGAATACCTTTCAGAACTTGTTCCAACCTCAACAATGGAAGATGTAGCCACGGCTCTCTCACTCCTCCATCTGCAATACAAGGCACAGAACTCTATTACAGATATCTTTTATTCAATCGTACATTTCGTAATTCATATGAAAAAATAAAATAAAATAAAATAAATTTATTTCATTCAATAATCATAACATTTTAATTTTATCTATTTATTTAAAAATATTATATTTTTAAAATATATTTATTATTTATTTTTTAAAAAATAAACATGATAAAATAAAATAAAAATTAATATTATTTGATTTGAGTTAATTTTTTTCAAAAATAATATGTATATAAGATTTCACAAAATGAATAATTTAAAGAAATGACCAAAATAAAACTTAAAAAATGAACTCACCACCCATTAAATTATCTCAAACTAAAATTTGAACTTGGGAAAAAAATTTAGGCTCTGTTTGGAGGTAAATTACACTTAAGAGGTAAATTACAAAAATGAAACTTAAGATGTAAATTACACTTTTTCCCCTTGAATTTTATAATTTTCACACTTTAACTTTTAAAGTATTTTTTTAATTTACTCTTAATTTTTGTAATTTTTCTCATAATACTTTCAAAGCAAAATACCTTCTAACTATGGATAAGAAAATACCAGTTTGATACTCATGGGCATAAAAATAAATTATTAAAATTTGATTATTTTTTAGAGTTTATTTTATAAATAATTATAAAAAAAATTGGCAAAAATAAATACCAAAAAATATATTTTTGAAAATTATGAAAATAATTAGCGATTTTGAAATTATTTTTTTTTCATTTTTTTACTCACCAAACTAATTTATTTATTTTTTAAATATAAAAACTCAATCAAAGACAAAAGTATTTTGAGTGTATATAAACGATGGTCCTATTACAAAGTGGATAAATTATTTTTTTTTTTCATTTTTTTACTCACCAAACTAATTTATTTATTTTTTAAATATAAAAACTCAATCAAAGAGAAAAGTATTTTGAGTGTATATAAACGATGGTCCTATTACAAAGTGGATGATAAATGAGAGAACAAATGGAGGCAATACAATAGAAAAAGAGAGATGATGGAGATTAAGGAGCAGTGTAGATGAATTTAAAGAGGAGAAACATACGGGGCTTAGGATTTGAGTTTTGGGTTTTGAGACTTAAAATTGAATAGAAATTAGTTTTG